TTGTACGCTACACCAATATAGCTTTAATTTGATATATAACATGATGGTGTTTGTCTGAGGTATTCCTATTTAAATTAATATGTGACAGGCTATTACATAATTATATCTTTGTATAAGGTTGATCCCATAAAATTCCCTTTTTATTTGACGCTGTGTATAATTTTTTAAAGCTAACATATTTACCCTGATTTTCGGGGGCAAAACGGCTCAGATTCCTACAGCCAAAATTGACCGAATTAATTCCCATGTTTCTGTCTATTTTATGGCATGTAAATTTGATAGCCTTGTACAGTCAGTATTCTGTAACTAGACTGATCGCGCTGAACAGAGAAAAATCATGTTGCTTCGTCCTACCACGGGGAGGGGTATTTATCCAATTTTGGCTTCCGACCACTAGCGTACATATTTCCATTGAAATATGGCACATTCTGGCCGGCTCAGAATTTATTGGATGATTGTCGAACATAAAAGTACTAAACAATGTAATTTAAGTCTCCCCGAGTACAAGTTGTCAGGGCCCCACATGAAGACTGTCAGGTACATAGTTTATTGTTGATCTGAACGTTTGGCAATAATTAAAAAAAAAAAATTTTGCGTCTGAAGCTTGATAGGATACATCGCGTCTGAGAATATTGCCGACAATGATCACAAAAACACCTCCATGAAAGCCCATGGCCAGAAGAGTGGCAAGTATTATAATCCGGCATAGTTATTTTTTAATGTAAAGAAATGTAACATTGTGTCACAAAAGGTGAGCGTATAATATTTGAAGAAGAATAATGATATTTTTTCTTATAGTAAAGAGATAAAAACGCAGTGAAATGTCAAACACGTTTCTAAAATTTCGTAGGTGTCAGAACCTATTAGTAGGGTTGTCGGAATATAGGGTTGTCGGAATATAGGAATGTCGGAACATAGGGGTGTCAGAATATAGGTGTGTAACCCCGAGGAGGGTTGTGTCTCCCTCAGAAGGTAGACATTTTTGAAAAATGCAACCAAAATGAAGTCATTTAGTGCATACTTGGGGATTTTCATTCTTGATCATTAAGAATACAGTACATGTACACAGAACCAAAGGCCTTACACAAACGCAGGCTTTTATATAAGCCTATTATTGATATTTGGGTAAGTCAGGAAAGTGTAGGGGACAGCTGATATTGTGTCCCCCACCCTTCAGAAAGTCGAGGGGACGTGTCCCCCTGTCCCCCTCCATGATCGACGCCCCTGGTTACCGTAAGTTACTAGTTACAATTAATTGAATGAGTGACGTAAACATTGACTCTCCAGTTTGTGCGAATTTTTCCCTCTATACTTTTGAAATATATACGCTAAATTATGATTCTGAATGCGCCAATAGACAGAGAATGTTTTAATCAAAAACGTCATCAAGCCCTTCCTGCTACCTTAACCTACCGGGACCGAAGTAAATCAGTTGTGAAAGGGTCAAAGGTAAGGAGACACATTAGGGTTCAACAAAAAGTCACATAATGTCGAGTACAACTAACCTTACGTTGTACGTCGCCGGGGCGTCTTACTACTCGGTTCGGGTAAGTTTATTTGGAGTTGGATAGCATTGTTTTTCGCATTTCCTTTAAAGATGACAATGTGGCGTACGTTGTATGCTACGCGCGTTACGACCACAGTGGAAGTGAACGGAGATCACCGACATTACAGTGCTGCCATATTCTATGCAAATATTTGAACTAACTGCTGTATGTTAACAATACTATGGCTGAAAAACACGATTGAAACAGTCACCAATCTACAAAGCTTTGCATGCACTTTGCATTAAAAATATTATCCTTATCGAATATAATGCCACACTTGGTCAGAGCATGAAAGGTACTAATATACCTCCATGGTCTGTGAATCACGCTCGTTCGATTAGAAAGATTCTGGCCAAGGTGTGGCTTTATATCCGATAGCCCATAGAGTGAGTGTTTCTTGATTAGAACACAAAATAACGATAAAATTGAAAGATTCATAGATCGGATGGATTGTCAGTGCATACACGGTTACTAGAAGAACCGTGGTGCATAGTACTGAACGTGTGTCAGTTTACACAAATCACGTGACAAAAGATTTACTGTACACATTGTTATTTGCTCATCACATGATTGATTGCTGTTTTCCTGCCGAGGTGCAAGGTCTGATTTCTAATCTGTTGCAATACTCTTAGCATATGAATACAGCTGTACAAATTACATTCTGTGTATGAACACAAGTCTGACAGGTTTCCCATCTGCATAATAACAAAAAGTTTACAGAAATAAACCAAAAGCCGGGGTCACATGAACAAGAGTTTTACCATTACTGTAAGAGTGCGACTGTCGTCTGCTTTGAGCCGAGTTAATGTTAAAGCGGGAGGTTCGTCACCTGCGCACGCGCGGGAATTGAGTTCCAAGCGTTGATAACAGCACACGCTGAAAACGCAAAGGCTCATGGGTAGACGCTTATTTATAAACACTGACGCGCTACGACCATCTAACACATGCGCAGGTGACGCTTCCCCCTCTTTAAATAAAGCGGCTAATAAGGGGGTTAGCTAGATCAGTAATCAAAATGAACGAAGTAGGCGAACTTGTTAAAACTGATATTTATGTCGCCTATGCAATTTTAATCCGTTGGTCAATGTTGCAATTCACATCGCTGTTTTGCTAACACTGCTACACAACTAGCGCGATAGCTTATCAATCAAGCTAAAACAAAATATTGAGGGGAGTGCAAAACACTGCAAACAGATTTGCAGCCTTTGTCAATATATGTTGGTGTGCAATAATTATTTTTAACAACATTCACTAGATTTCTTAATAATTTAGTGGCACACGAATGCGGACACGCTGCAAAGATTTGATGTAACCAACCTCATGTTTTGATAAAATCGCCAAGATGGATGCAAAAAATCTATTTACTATCATTTTGATAATTGTGCACTATCTAGTAATCATTTACTAATTGTTCGCATTCTAGGTAGAGGTTGCATTGGCCGAGAAGGGTATAAACTATGACCGTTGTACAATAAACGGATTCATTTGTGAAAACTTGGAACCATGGTACATGAAAATGAATCCTACTGGAAAGGTACCTACACTGATGCACGGCGATAAGCCTGTCTGTGGATCGGCAGCAATATTGAAGTATTTGGATGACGAATTTCCAGAAAGTGAGTTGAGTGTATATTTTAACACGCCATGGTCAATGAACAACAAAGGGTAAATGGGTTTAACTTTATCTTCATTTCCATTAGCATGTGGATTGTTTTTCTAGCTCCACTGTTACCAGAAATTCACTGTGCGCCGTCACCCGCCAGTTCTTACTTTTCAAAAATTGCTTTGATACGCCGATGACCTGGTTGACCTTTGCACTTAACACATTAAAACATCTTTAATTGCTTCCAATATAGTTTATTTTCGTGTTTCTTATTACCAAACGCTTCAGCGTGGTATTAAGAATTTGTTTTCAGGGTTGGGTGATACCAAGGTGGAAATGGATGCACATATGGGGTTAATTCCTGGAATTGCAATAGAGAGGGTTCAGGCCAAAATACGATATATAGTGTTTTCATGTTTCGTCTGATATTTCTGTGGTATTCTGCTGCTGTAACTAATGCAAGATTTGTTCTGAAATTCAGTGTATTGTGTGCACTCAAGGGTTATTCGTTTTTTGCTGAAAACACCCCAATTTTTTAATGGCAGATTCGAAAGGGTTCACTCCCACTGGGAAATATGCATTGTCGCTTGAATGAGAGCTAATTAAACACATTTTTCAGACCGGCGAAAGAGTATGTAACAGCCAATTGTAACGTGATTTTACTCAGAATGTCAACATGGAAAGAGGCTATTCCATTTTACGCAGGAATAATTGGGAGTAGAATATGTGAGGGATTGTATAAACAGAGATGTGTATACTGAAAAGTG